TGCTTCATTTCTTGTAAAAAGGGTAAAGGTAAAGGTTCCCTTGCTCGAAAGCCAGTCGAATCCGACTCTAGGGCTGCGGTGCTCCTCTCCGTTTCCAAGCCAAAGAGCCAGCGCTGTCCGAAGACGTTTCTGTGGTCATGTGGCCAGCATGACTAAACACCAAGGCGCACGGAACGCTGTTCCCTTCCCACCGAAGTGGTCCCTATTTATCTACTTGCAATTTCTTGCTTTCGAACTGCTAGGTTGGCAGGGGCTGGAACTAGAGACGGGAGCTCACTCCGTCATGCGGCACACTCGGGTCTCGAACTGCCGAACTACCGACCTTCCACAGCCTGCAGTTCAGCGTCTTAACCACTTGAGCCACCGCAGCTCATTTCTTGTAAGGCAGCCCCAAACTCTGACCTTTGGGAAAGGGGAGACAGTGCGTCTGGGTGATAAGGAGAGGATCCACTCATTTCAGTGGAATCTGCTTCCAAGTGAAGCCTCAAATTGAGGCACTCAGTCCCACTCAGTTTTGAAGACAGAGTAAGGAACTAAAAAGAGGGACAGTGCAGGGCGGGGTGGGGGTGGGGAGTGCGGCAAGGATGTGAAATTGCAGCCTGTTGAGGAAAATGAACAAATGAAACGGACACACACACACCCCTCCTCTCCAATCCTTTATCTTTTTTCTTCAAAGGCATAGGATAATCAGAGCAGGGCACAGCGGCAGTGTCTTGCTAGGAATCAAAGCCCTTGCCGAGTGCTTGAAAGGCAGGTGTTCCGGGGTCACTAGAGAGCTTTGCTAAAGTGGTCTTGTCTCTTTCGTTTTCTTCCCCTTTGCTTCGGCGTGGATATCTAAAAGGACAGTTGGAACCAATAAATGAGGTGAGTTAATCTGATGATTCATTCCTCCCGCTCTCGTCTGTCCCCATGCACAGGGAGACGGTCATGCATTTTAGACTGCTTCTCTTTCTATGGTACATTGGGGGGTTTTTTTGGTGCGTGTGTTAGGGGTTCTTTAGTTTATGCATTTTTCAGCACCCACCGCTTCTTTGTAGACCATGCACATTTTAGCTTATTAAAGACAAAGGCTGCTTAAACTATAATGCAAATGCTTAAATATGTATTGAAATGGATATTTAAAATATATATTCGGTTCACTTGAAATATATTGTTGAATCTGCATGAGAGTGTAATATCTGGTATTCTGTACCTGGATTCCCTGAGAACTTTGTTTCCATTTAAAACAAAAAGTCACTAGTTATGTGCATACTTACAGACTGTGGCCATGCACTGGGTTAAATTCTACCAGTTTTTCTGCTTGATCTTACCATGTGCACCTGCTCACCGCAGTCTGCATCATGTACAGCTTTTATCCACGCACGTCCCACAGTTTCCAGCATGGGATTTTAAATGATTAAAATACACCAGTACAGATCCTTGATTAAAACCAGTGTGCCTCTGCTGTACCCCGTTGGCACCTCACTCAGCTCCCGGGGGCCTGGCTGGGAATACGTCTTCCTAGTTCATCTCTCTTGGCAGCTCTGTAGCTGCGATGTGCCAGTAGGTACCTTAACTTTCCTTATCCCATATCGGTGGCATGAACTTAGTACTAGACCTACCTCTACAACAGGAATGAGTGAACCCGGCGCACATGAAATCAATCAGTCTAGCAGTCTGCAGCATAAGACCACTGAGTGCTGTTTTTGCCAGCAATGGATGGGTTATAATTGTGCTTTTTTTCTGGTTTCCAATGGCCTCAGGGCCTGTTGTCTAGAATCTCGGATCTCTTGCTGTGCAGATGGACTTGCAGGAATTGCTGTCAGAAGTGTTACGACTGTAGCTGTTGCCAGTCGAGCGAAGATGAAGTGGAAATCCTGGGGCCTTTTCCAGCACAGACGCCACCTTGGCTGTAAGTTTTGGATGTTGCCCCCCCCCACTACTTCTGGATGTTTCATCTTGGTTTTCCTGCCTTCAGGCGTGAACGTCAGAAGAGCCCTGCTGGATCCTACCAGGGGTCCACGTAGTCCAGCATCCCCGTTCACACGGTGGCCGACCAACAAGAGGTCCCCCGGTTTGCCTCCTAGCCACTGCACGTGGAGGTTCCCTTTAGTCACCATGTGGAAGCAGGCCCTTTTTTAAAAAGTGTGGGGGCAAGGAGTCTGTTTTCCTGGGGCTGGCTTCTCGTGGGGGCAGCCTGAACACTGACAAACAGCACTGTGTTTCAGGGTCTGAAACGGTTAGACTCTTTTCCTTCTAAGGCAACAGTACAGATCAGTGAAAACGTCACCGTAGGACTAGATGTTGAGGCAACAGTACAGATCACTGAAAACATCGCCGTAGGACTAGATGTGATTGCAGTGTCATGGGCTTGTCCTGTGCTTCCCAGAGGTGCCGTAAGGCAACAGTACAGATCAGTGAAAACGTCACCGTAGGACTAGATGTGCAGTGTCATGGCTTGTCCTGTGCTTCCCAGAGGTGCCGTGGCCCAGTGGCAGAGCATCTGCTTGGCATGCAGAAGGTCCCAGGTTCAATCCCCAGCATCTCCAGTTAAAGGATCTGGCCGTAGGTGATGTGGAAGACCTCCGTCTGAGACCCTGCAGACCCAGTCGGAGTAGGCAATACTTGATAGTCAAAGGGTGCGATTCTTTAGAGGGAAGCTTCAGGTATTTGCTTATTGGGGCTTTATCTGACGCGGAGAGCTCTGCTCCTGTTCTTAATCAGCTGTCCATTGCTACCTTTCCTCCTCTCCCCCAGAGCCCCAGGAAGGCCAGAAACAGCCTGGCTGGGGGGATGGTGTGGTCGGGCCCCTCCCTCAGCCCACAGCAGCACCAACTGTCTGTACGTCCAAGAGCCATGAAATCAGTGGCCCGATGTCCTCTGCAACCCCAGAGGCACAGGTTTCTGCGAACTGGAGGTGGGAAAGAGGGGAGAAAAATTATCCTGCAAACTAGAGAACTGGAAACAGCAATTGCACAAACGTCCATTGGGGGTAGACCCGGGGCAGCCAATGGCTCTGCGCCTGTGGACACCCTTGGAATTCTGAGGGATCCAAACCCAAACTGGCTGCCTCGAGAGGCGGAGCCAAGCACAGTACCTCCCTCCCCACTTTGCAAAAGAATATGTGGCAACCGTGCTGAACGCCTGAGGCTGCCTTACTTAGACTGTGCCCATTGGTCCGTCACAGTTAGTGACCTGTACTTTGGTTGGCAGCATGGTCTGGCCAATGGGAGAAGAGCAAGCCTGAAGAAGGAAAGGGGTGGGCTTCTGTCCCTCAACACTCTCCCCCTCCCCGCAACAGCCCAGCTCTCTGGATTCTAATATTAGGTCAAAGTTCCCCCTCTGCTTTGCAAAAGAAGCTAATGGCAATAGCTAGTGAGTCCTGAGAGGGAAACGGGACCACACACTGGCTGCTGACCAGTCCCCCCCGGATCCTTCATTTAAAAGAGGGCAGCTGGTAACAAGACCTGCCATACAGTGGCCCTGCCTTCTTTCTCAAAAGCTGGGGGGGGGCACCCCACCGAGGAACCCTGAAACAGACACATGTAGGTAAACAATCCTGGAACAATCGTGGGCCTGCCTTGCAATGGCTGGCCTCTTCCTCCAGGGTCGGGGACAAAGGGTGGCACTGGGGGAGCAGCTATCCCAAAGGCACCCACTAGACTGTGGAGTGTCGCAAGGGGCAGTGCTATCCCCGATATTATTTAACATCTACATGCGCCCCCTTGCCCAGATTGCGCGGAGACATGGGCTGGGGTGTCACCAGTACGCAGATGACACCCACCTCTATCTGCTGTTGGGCGGCCAGTCTGATTCTAAACCAGAAGATCTAGACCAGGCGTTACAAGACGTGGCTGGATAGCTTAGGCTGAGTCAACTGAAACTGAATCCGATGAAGACGGAGGTCCTGTGCCTGAGTCGAGGCGGACTGAGGGTAGGGATCCCGCTCCCGACCGTTGATGGGGCGCCATTGGTGCCAGCGCCGGAGGTTAGGAGTCTTGGAGGGCTCCTGGATGCCTCCTTAATGATGGAGGCCCAGGTAGCAGCCACTGGCAAGTTGGCCTTCTACCATCTTCGGCTGATCAGGCAGCTGGTTCCCTTCCTTGAACACAGCGACTTGGCAACAGTGATCCACGCTATGGCCACCTCGAGATTGGACTACTGTAATGCTCTCTACATGGGGCTGCCCTTGTCACAAATCCGGAAGCTACAGCTGGTGCAGAATGCTGCGGCCAGGCTGTTAATGGGTCTCCCAATGCCGGAGCACATTGAGCCAGTGCTGAAGGCATTGTACTGGCTACCGATAGCGTACCAGATTCGCTTCAAGGTGCTGGTTCTTTAAAGCCTTTTATGGTCAGGGACCTACATACCCGAGGGACCGCCTTTCCCCACATGTTCCCCAGAGAGCACTGTGATCAGTGTCTTAACACCGACTCACCCTTCCTGGGCCAAAGGATACCAGGTTAGCTACAACCAGGGCCAGGGCTTTCTTGGTGGCTGCTCCTTCCTGGTGGAATGAGCTCCCGGAGGAGATCACGGCCCTGTGGGTCCTTAACGCAGTTCCGCGGGGCCTGCGAGACGGAGCTCTTCCGCCAGGGCTTTAATTAGGAGCCGCCCCGATAGAGACCCATGTCCCCTGAAGCCTGTGCCGGCTGCACAAGATTAGATCAGTGGGCTGACCACAACGACGAAAGGATTCGCCATCCATTAATAATTTATTAATGTTATGAAATGCTAGCACTTTGAAACGTTGAAACGTTTTATCCGTTTTTAGGATTATTTAAATTTATGCGTGCGTTTTATTTGTTGCAAGCCGCCCTGAGCCGGCCTTGGCTGGGAGGGCAAGGGTATAAGTCTAAATAAATAAATAAATAAACAGTAAGTAGCCTGTGGCTTGGCCCATAGTTGGACCTAAGCGCTCTGAATTTCATCCACATCATCTGATGTGAGTACAGTGATATTTCTCCCTTCCTGGTTTTTTGGTGTTTTTTTTTATGCTGTGCAAAGCTGAGGACATGTCTGTCTTGCTCTGGCAAATCTAATTATGTTGACTTAACACACATGGCAACAACACCTTCCTGTCATTTTCTCTCTAGTATTTACTTTCCAGCCTTGTTGGAGGGAGGGGGGGGGAATCTCAAAGAGCAACAGGGGTTTATCAGCTTTGCATATTATGAAATGTCCGACACAGACGGTCAAAAATAAATGTTTCATGCTCTGAGAGATTACACGGGAATCAGAGTTCAGCTTTCTTCTTCATGGTGTTCCTAATTAATCAACCATAAAAGAGGGGGGGGGGCTGTTCTAAGTATAGCTAAGGTTTATAGGTTGGGGAAAAATAGATAGCGGTTCACCATCAATGACCGCTTGACAAATGGCTGTTTTGTTTTTTGCTTGAGTGCATTATTAGAATATCTTATGGCTCTTCTTGGCTTGGTGTAGTGGTTAAGTGTGCGGACTCTAATCTGGGAGAACCGGGTTTGATTCCCCACTCCTCCACTTGCACCTGCTGATGTGACCTTGGGTCAGTCACAAGCTCTGGCACAGCTGTCCTTGAAAAAGAGCAGTTTCTGTCAGAGCTCTCTCAGCCCCACCCACCTCACAGGGTGTCTGTTGTGGGGAGGGGAAGGGAAAGGAGTTTGTAAGCCGCTCTGAGACTCCAAGTGAAGGGCGGGGTAGAAATCCAATCTCTTCTTCTTCCTCTTCTTCCTCTTCTTCCTCTTCTTCCTCTTCTTCCTCTTCTTCCTCTTCTTCCTCTTCTTCCTCTTCTTCCTCTTCTTCCTCTTCTTCCTCTTCTTCCTCTTCTTCCTCTTCTTCCTCTTCTTCCTCTTCCTCCTCCTCCTCCTCCTCCTCCTCTTCTTCTTCTTCTGCTTCTGCTGCTTCTGCTTCTTCTGCTTCTTCTGCTTCTGCTTCTTCTGCTTCTGCTGCTGCTGCTGTTTTCTGCTCAGTAGTAGCAGGGGGCATGACTTGAGCTTAGCCCCCCGGCACCTCCAGGGAAATGATCCGGTACCAGTCATCACAGACGATATTGGGACTTGACAGACAGTGGTCTGACTCGGCATAAGGCAGATTTCTTCCTTTGTAAACTTGATGGCAAAGAGTCGTTGCTTTTTCTCAGCTTTCAGAGGGGTAGGCTGATTCACAAAGGTGTAGGTTTGTTGAGGTTATTAGTAATAATATCAATGCTGTCTTACAGTCTAAATAATGAGAAATGGGGAATCCCCAGATATCACATGTTTGCAAGGTAGTTAATTGATGGGGGAAACCCACAACCAGTTGACAACCTTACTGAGGGTGTACAGTGCTTTCCGGGGTTCAGAGGTTCCAAGGTGTTTTCTTATCAACAGGGTAAGCAGTCGAAGTGAGGAGAAAGATGGAGATTCTGACAACATGACAACGAGCGAACCTCCCCCGACACCTCAGGAAAGAAGGAGGTCCTCTACAGATACGTCTAAGTCCACTTACAGCCTCGCGAGGCGGATTTCAAGTAAGACTGGCTCCCGTTTGGGGTGGCTGTGGAACAGAGTAGCCCCGTCTCCTGATTCTGAGGCAGAAGGGGCAGACCTGGTGGGACGAGGCATAACCTGGCTCGGGGGGGACGGGACGTCGGTTAGTCAAAGGAGGGTAATGGCAGCCATTTTAAAAGCAAGCAGAGGAGAGCCTGGCTCCTCGCCCTGAGTGGCCTTACCAGCTTTGACTGGTTAGCCAGCTGTGGCCTTTCCTAGACAAAACAGATGTGGCCACTGTGGTACAGGCCCTGGTTATATCCAGATTAGAGTACTGCCAGTGCCCTTGGGAACTGTTCAGAAACTTCACTTGGTGCAGAATGCTGCATCCAGGATGTTGAGCCTGGAGTGGGTCGTAGGATTATATCACTTCAGTCTTGGTCCACTACACTGGCTTCCAGGTTGTTTCTGGGCACGATTCAAGGTGCTGGTCTTGACCTTCAAAGTGCTAATTAATTACTCTCAAGAAGGGTACATCTGCCCATCAGTCTCCATTTTTTAATTTCCTTCACTCTGTTTCCTCTAGGAATGAAACCCAAACAAATGGTAACCATATAAACTAAGCTTGTTGTTCTCATTTGGTCCTTGACTCTGTTAAACATCTTCATTATGCTGTATGCTGATTTGCTGCTCACCCTCTGCTCACCATGCATGGACTGGTAACTTCCATTTCAATGTACCTGAAGAAGTGTGCCTGCACAGGACAGCTTATACCCAGAATAAAACTCTGTTAGTCTCAAAGGTTCCACTGCACTGAAACGTTGTTTTCAACTGGTATATGGTTTGGGACTAGCATACCTGAAGGACCACTTAATCCCTTATGAACCTGCCCAACCAGTGCTTAGTTACCCTTTCTTACCCACCCAGGGAAATGCTGATCTCCACTTTGGGGTCAGGAAGCCATTTTTCTCCAGGCCGGTTTGGCCAGAGATCCTGGAGGATTTTTGTCATGTTTTTTGTATCTTCTGGGCCCTGCGGGTGTGGAGGGGGGGGGGGAGGTATTTGTGAATTTCCTGCATTGTGCAGGGTGTTGGACTAGATGACCCTGGAGGACCCTCCCAACTCTATGATTCTATGATTACTGTCACCTTTGGAGGCCCTGCTTTGAGTGCCCCCCCCCCTGCCCTCTGAGGTTAGGCAGGTGGCAACCGAGGAATGGGCCTTCTCAGCCCTGGCACCAAAGCTCTAGAACTCTCTCCCCAGGGAGATGCATCTGCCACCTTCTGTTGCCATCTTTGCCCGGGGGGTGAAGCCTTTTTTGTTTTGCTTGGCATTTCCTTAATGATTCCCTCCTTCCTGAAGAACTCTGTTTTTTTAACGCTTTTAAAAGTCGTCTTAATGAGGCATGTTTGGGAGGTGGGTTTATTTTAATGGTTTTATAATGTTGACAGGATCCTGGCAGCTGTAAAGCCCACCACGTGCCCCCCTAGATCCCTGCCCATTGTGTCTGGTTAAAGCCTGCAGCGATGAGGTACGGAGCCCCTCAGGGAGATTATGAATCTGTCCCTATCAATGGGGACCTTCCCAAGGGGACTGAAGGAGGCAGTGGTCCGTCCACTCCTCAAAAAACCATATTTGGACCCTATGGTCCTTACTAACTACCACCCAGTGTCCAATCTACCATTCCAGAGTAAGGTAGTGGAGAGGGGTGGTAACATAGCTCCAGGCTTTCCTGGAGGATGCTAATATCCTGGATCCCTACCACTCCGGTTTTCGCCCTGCCCGTGGGATGGTGTTTGTCGCCCTGGTGGATGATCTCCAGAGACACCTGGATCGAGGTGGATTGGCACTGTTGATACTTCTTGATTTGTCAGCGGTGTTCAATGTGGTTGACTATGAATTGTTGACCCACTGCCTCACCCATGTGGAGATAAGGGGGCTCACCTTGCAGTGGCTGACCTCCTTTGTCCAAGGTCAGGGACAGAGGGTTGCACTTCGGAGGGACTTATCCCAGCAATACCTGCTGGAAAGTGGTGTGCCACAGGGATCGATTCTCTCCCCAGTGCTGCTTAATATTTACATGCGCCCCCTCGCCCAGATTATCTGGAGGTATGGGCTGGGTTGTCATCACCAATATGCTGATGACACCCAGCTCTACCTACTGATGGATGGCTACCCGGGCTCTGCCCCAGGAAATCTGGACACAGGGCATTACAAGCTGTGGCTGGATGGTTACAACAGAGCTGACTGAAATTGAATCCATCGAAGACGGAGGTCCTGCACCTGGGTCATGGGTATTGGGCTCCCAACCTTTGATGGGGCCCCACTGGTGCCGGCGTTGAAGGTGAAGAGCCTGGGGGTGTTCCTGGATGCCTCATTGACTGTGGAGGCTCAGGTCGCCGCCACTGCCAGGTCTGCCTTTTTCCATTTGAGACAGATCAGGCAGTTGGCCCCATATTTCACCCCTGGGACCTGGCTACAGTGGCCAATGCAATGGTCACTTCCAGATTGAACTACTGTAATTCTCTCTACGTGGGGGTCCAGAAACTGCAGCTGGTGCAGAACGCAGCAGCGCAGGTGTTGACTTCGTCATCTGTGAGGACATGTATCCATCCTGCGCGAACTGCACGGGCTGCCTATTGAGTACCGGATCCATTTCAGGGTGCTGGAGCATGCCTTCAAAGCCCTACCAGCCAGGGGCCTGCATATCTTTGAGACCTCTTCTCCCCTTATGGGCCCTGTAGGACCCTACGATTGGCAAACAGGGTGATATTGGGTGTCTTGGGCAAATTCCGGTGCTCTTGGGACAGCGGAAGTGCGGTGGGCCTAGGTGGGGTTCTAAGGGTAGGGGTTCTAAGGCTCGGCACCCTTCCAGCCTACGGCCCATCCCAATGGTGGCTGGCAGTGGGGCCAGGATTTACCATCCTTTTAGCAGGGCGGTATCCTAGCCGGCTAAAACTTCTCAACTTCCCCCCCCGAATTGTATGTATTCTCAACAAGAAAGACTATACATCCTCTGTATAGAAAAGGTGCCTTCTCATATTTATTCCCTATTTTGACATATTTTTTACCTTGCTCTCCTTTTCCCCTATTAATTAAATCAAAACAACTGTTGACCTTATAACCTTTGTTTGTTATTTAGTTTCACTTTGAATATCTGAAAGCATCTGCATCATGTTAGACGTTAATTTGCTGTTCAGCCTGCATCTAGAAGTTTGAAATCCAGCTTCCTTTCCAAAGTGTGCCTGCACACGAAAGCTCATACCTTGAATAAACCTTTGTTGGTCTTCAAGGTGCCCCACTGGACTCTAAATTTATTTCTACTGCTTCAGGACAACACGGCTGACCACCTGGAATTTAGAGGAGGGCCAGGAGCTGTTATGGTTGGCAGCAGAGGACAGGACGCACAATCATGGGTTTAAGGACAGGGAGGTACTGCTGGAAGTGGTGGCGGCTACAAGCATAGACGGCTTCAAAAGGGAATTAGATAAGCATATGGAGCAGAGGTCCATCAGTGGCTATTAGCCACAAGGTATAGATAGGGGCTCTGGGGCAAGTGATGCTCTGTCTTCTTGGTGCTTGGGGGGGGGTCAACAGTGGGAGGGCTTTTAATGTCCTGGCCCCACTGGTGGACCTCCTGATGGCACCTGGTATTTCTGGCCACTGTGTGACACAGAGTGTTGGACGGGATGGGCCTTTGGCCTGATCCAACATTGGCGTCTCTTATGTTCTTATGGATCTTGGGAAAAACCTTTTGACAGTCGGAGTTGTGCAGCAGTGGGATCCACTGCCTCCCTGGCAGTCTTTAAGCAGCGGCTGGACTAACACATGTCAGGGATGCTGTAGGCTGATCCTGCCTTGAGCAGGGGGTTGGACTAGGTGGCCTGTAGGGCCCCCTCCAAGTCTGTGATTCTATCCTAGTTAAAAAGGCTGTTCCTTTTTGAAAAGTGTAAGCAAGTCCACTAATCTTCTAGAATAGTATATCCAGAGAACTGTGATATTATCATCCTTTCCCTTGTTCTGCTCCCTTCTCAAGGGGACAAGGTATCTAATCTGTAATTTTATAAATAAGCTTCTACCTTGCTTTACGTTAAATTAGCTCACAACATCATTCTCCCTGTCCTCATTATATTTATGCAACAGCAACCCTGTGAAGCAGGCTGACCTGGTCAAAGGTCACGCAGCGAGCTTCTACAGAACAGTGGGGATTCTAACCTGGGTCTTCGAGATTCTAGTCCGATCTCTTGCCTGTTAACTTTGTTGGGTGACCCCTAGTCCTAAAAGAGGTGTGTGGGGGGGGAATCCACCGTCCTTCCACTGTGTATAATTGTGTAAGTTTCTCTTGTTGCCCCCCTCGAATGCAGCTCTCCTTAGAGAGTGGTGGTATAAAATGCTAATACAGCATGAGAGCATTTTTCAAAATGCTATAGAAGCACCATGAGTTCTTCTCGTGACTAAAACTGTCCTGATATTTGTTGTTTGGTCCTCTTGTGCAGATCTGGAGCTGAGGCGGCCGAGTTCCCCGTTGATCGACATTAAACCGATTGAGTTCGGGATTTTAGGCGCCAAAAAAGAAATAGTTCAGCCTTCCATCTTGAGGAAACCTTACACTTCAGACGACTATTTCAGAAAGTTTGAGCCCAGACTCTATTCCCTTGACTCGAACAGTGATGACGTGGATTGCCTGACGGACGAGGAGATCTTAGCCAAGTACCAGCTGGGCATGCTGCATTTTAGTACTCAGTACGACCTCTTGCACAACTACCTAATTGTCAGGGTCATCGAGGGAAAGGATCTGCCCCTTCCTGTTTCCTATGACGGCTCCAGGCAGGACATGGCTCATTCCAACCCTTACGTGAAGATCTGCCTCCTTCCGGACCAGAAGAACTCCAAGCAGACGGGAGTTAAGCGCAAAACCCAAAACCCCGTGTTTGAGGAGAGGTATACCTTTGAAATCCCCTTTTTGGAAGCCCAGAGGAGAACCCTGCTCTTGACTGTAGTGGATTTTGACAAATTCTCACGCCACTGTGTCATTGGGAAAGTGTCTATGCCCTTGAGCGAGGTGGACCTTGTTAAGGGCGGGCACTGGTGGAAGGCCCTGGTCCCCAGTTCTCAGGTAAAAGGGTTGTTTTCTTAACTTATTTATTTAGAGTATGAATACTCCAGTTTTCTACCAGTATTAACACCCATGGCAGCCTACGAAGCTTTATAAAAGAGTAAAGAAAAATGTTTAAATAGACAAGAAAATTGGCATTGCAGTGAGACCAAACCATTCCTTCTCCTTTCCTGGGAGTATATTTAGGGGGGGAATTTGAAGCTGACATAAGTCTCCACCACCACCCTCAAAGGGACGTGCTATGGCAGCTGTCTCTCTTGGGCTGTAGGAGCCCAGGGAATCTGCCCCCAGCCCATGTAATTGCCAGCGAGTTAAACGAGTTCTTGCTGGCCTTGGTTGCTTTGATTTTCTCTTTCTAACGGTGATTAATGTGGATGTCTCTCCAAAGCACTGCTGCTGCATCTCTCCCAGGGCTTTAAGGAGTTGCCCAGTGTTATATTCTTTGGTGTAGTGGTTAAGTGTGCGGACTCTAATCTGGGAGAACCGGGTTTGATTCCCCACTCCTCCACTTGCACCTGCTGATGTGACCTTGGGTCAGTCACAAGCTCTGGCACAGCTGTCCTTGAAAAAGAGCAGTTTGTGTCAGAGTTCTCTCAGCCCCCCCCCACCTCACAGGGTGTCTGTTGTGGGGAGGGGAAGGGAAAGGAGTTTGTAAACCGCTCTGAGACTCCAAGTGAAGGGCGGGGTATAAATCCAATCTCCTCCTCCTCCTCCTCCTCCTCCTCCTCCGCTATCTCCTCCTCCTCCTCCTCCTCCTCCTCCTCCTCCTCCTAGTGTACGTGAGATGCAGGTCGGGGTTTGAACTCCGCTGCTGGTTTTTGTGGGCCTCTCTCCCCGGAGTGGCGTTTTGGGCTGTGGTGGGAAGGGGGGAGTATATCCAGGGTCTTCACTGGAGAAGAAGACCCTGATGCTGGGAAAGACTGAAGGTCAAAGAAGACGGGGACGGCAAAGGGTGAGATGGTTAGACAGTGTCATCGATGCAACGAACATGAAGTTGAGCCAACTTCAGAGGACGGCGGAAGACAGGAGGGCCTGGCGTGATCTGGCCCATGGAGTCGTGGAGAGTCGGACTCGACTGTGCGACTGAACAAGAACAGGAAGGGGGGAGACAGGGAACAGCCGAGGCTCAGTGGCAGAGCATCTGCTTGCCATGCTGAAGGTCCAGGTTCAGTCTCCGGTATCTCCAGTTTAAAGGACCAGGTAGTAGATGATGTGAAGCACCGTCTGTTTGAGGCTCTGGAGAGCTGCCGCCAGTCTGAGTGGACAATACCGACCTAGACAGACCAAGGGTCTGGTTCAACATAAGGCAACTTTTTTGTTTTTGTATTTTGCATACGTGCACGTGTGTGGTGCGTGTGAGTGCGTGTGCACCTGGAAGTCATGACGACCTCTGGTGACTGACCCCTACTGTGGGCCTGGGGGATATTCGGGGAGGTGGCTGAATAAAGCCTGCCCCCTGCCCTCCCACCTTTGGTATTCCAAGGAGGTCTCCCATCCAAGTGTTTGCCAGAGTCGACCCTGCTTGCCTTCCGAGACTGGCCTCGCCTGGACTATCCAGGTCAGGGGAGTATAAGGCTACTTCACGTACGTTCACGTGAAGTCCCTTCTGTCAGTGGAAATGCCTGTTGGATCCAAGCCTCAGGATCTGTTCATGGAAGCAGCAGGCGTAGCCGGTCTTTGCCCGCTTCTCCTTTGCCATTTGTCCCCCAAACGCCTCTGAGGATCAGGAGAGCAAATGACGTGTGCCACCGGACAGGTGTTGTGGCAATAAGGGAGAAGCCGATCAAACCACCAGTTCCTTCAACAAATTCTTCTGCTGGCTCCCCATCTGAAATCCCTCCTCCTCCAGAGCACTCACGGGTACCGAGAGGTGCTCCGTCTAGCCTCAGGAACGGCCCCATTCATTTGCACGGGAAGAGGAGCCCTTTCTTGAAATACAAGCGGAAGCCATTCTTGAGCGAGGGGAGCCGTGCAAATAGTTCCGCAGAAGGAACTAGTTAACCCGGTCCACCTGGGCAGAAATTCTTAGCTAGGCTCTTGTCCCTGGCCTTTTAACTGCATAGCCCGGGTGAGCCCAGCACTGAAGGAAAGAAAATCCCAGGAAAGCGGTTCTGGTGTGTTTCATGATCTCTGTCACCTAGTGGGGCAAGATTAGCCAGCGTCTCGCCCTCCTTTTGACGGTCGCAGCCACCCCCTTGGGTAAAACCCGGCCCCTTTCTCTTTCTCGCGGGTTGCCTGAGGCTGGCACCACAGGGGTGTGCCGTGGCAACCTGCCACAAACTCAGGGCGCTACAAGAATAGATCTAGGTGCGCTGAGCAAAATAATCACAGTCTGTGGTGTCTCCACTCTTTGTTAGTAGCAGGATGCCCTGGTGCATCTGCAAGCATCTTTACCATCACTCCCCTCTGTCATCCTTTCTTTTCTTTTTTTTAATAAATATTTTTATTAAATTTCAGTTTCAAACAATCATAAAGATATAAACTAAAACTGACACAATAACAAACAAATACAATGCAACTTTCATAACTTAGGTTAACCATTTGTTCATAGGAAATGTCTTCAAAACAAATGTGAAGGTGTCATTGGCGTGCAATTGAATCATCATTATACTTTTTTCATAACTTACATACTCAAATTGTTGCTTCCAATTCTACTTGGGTTACATAAAAGTAAGTATATCTTGGTACTTGTTAGGTATCTGGTTTAGTATTCAAGGTGAGTTCTTCAAGACATATTCGGTAAAAGGAAGCCATTTAATCATTAAACTGGATTTATAGTTAGCACCATCTGACATCTTAATTGAATCAGCTATTTTATCCAGAGCCAATAGTTCCCATACTTTAACATACCATCTTGTTAATGAAATGGGAGCTGGATCTTTCCAGCTTGCAGCTATTACGGTTTTAGCTGCCAGGAGGAGAAAAGAAATTCGCTCCCTAGAAATTTGGGGAATAGTATTGTCTCTCCAGAAATCCAGTAAAACTAGTTCTGGTGCTTTGTCTCTCTGTCATCCTTCATGGCAAAATGCCTGAGAGAGCCAACACTGACACATGGCAAAAAACAACAACTCCCCCAGACAAAGGAAGAGGTCCCCTTTTCAGTTCCCTGTCCAGCCATTGCTCCAGGGCCCTTAGCCAATCCGGGTGTTAGGCCCTGGCCTCAAACCCACAAGAACCTTGACCCTCCAGAACAAGAGGCCTCAAGACATCAAAGGCTGGTGTGTTCTTCCCTGCATTGTTGGAAACAAGGCTCTCTGTCTGGAGGAGAGCACCTTTTCCAGTCATAGAGACACCTCTGTCCCCTTCCATCACCATAAGAAGAAGAAGAGAAGAGATTGGATTTATACCCCGCCCTTCACTACCCAAAGGTGTCTCAGAGTGGCTCACAAACTCCTTTCCCTTCCCCTCCCCACAACAGACACCCTGTGAGGTGGGTGGGGCTGAGAGAGCTCTGACAGAAACTGCTCTTTTTCAAGGACCGCTCTTATTAGAGCTACGGCTTGCCCAAGGTCATCCAGCCAGGTGCAAGTGGAGGAGTGGGGAATCAAACCCGGTTCTCCCAGATTAGAGTCCGCGCACTTAACCACTACACCAAACTGTCACAGTCTCACTTGTTCCCCTGGCTCTCACCCACCACAGTATGGTAGCATAATAGGTGGGCACACTGTGTAGAATAGGATGCTGGAGAGGTTTTGTGCCCTCCAAATGACCACCAGCAACCCAGTGGTCCTCGCAGCTGTGTGTACACAGTCGGACCATTGGGCCGTCTACTCAGCCTCTCTGCCAGTCTCCAGAATTGAAGCCACACAGTGCCTGTGTACCTTTCTCAGTACCTGCTACCTGAGATTTTGCAATGAGCAAATGCAGTTGAGGTGCGGGAGTTCCAGAGCCAAGCTGCCACCACACAAAAGGCGTATCTGGTAGCCATCAGCCTCACTTCTGGAAGAAAAGGTATGCATAGCAGGGCTTCTGTTGAGGATATTAGTTGACAAGCAAGACTGTATTGAAGTCGGTGGTCTTTGAGAGACCCTCGACCCCAGTCGCTTAGGGTTTCCAAGGACAGAAAATGGCACTTTGAATCGTGCCCAGAAAATGTAGGGGTAGTTGGTGAGGAACCCCTCTGGATTATGACTGAGAGACTGATAATATTTGTAATCTAGAAGAACAAAAGATCACATTATAATCTTCATCTCCATCTATTTCCCCCCCATGTTGCAGTCCTTTTTCCATGTGTCTTGTTTTTATTACTAAGAATGGGGGGGGGGGAGCTGTGTGCAGATTGCTCCGCATGGTGTCGCTGCATTTCCAGGGGTAGAAAGGAGAGTTGCGTTGCTGTGTTTTTTTAGCTTGTTTTTGGCCTCTTGGACCTGGCCCTTGTGGGTTCTTTGACAAAATAGGCCATGCTCAGAGGATTCTTGGCTGCAGGTGCAGCTGTGCTGCTAGCTCAGAACATCTGGACTTGTCCAAAGCTCTTTGAAGAACTAGACTTTCTAAGCCACTTTGGTACAGAGAAACTATGATTGCATTCAAATGTTACTGCAAACTGTGGAGTGTAGTTGTGACAAATCATTCTGGAAATTCTCATGCTTTCTTGCTCCCTGACCCAGACACTGATCCAGATGGGCCGTTTCCTGGCTGGCAATACATCATCAGACTGTGGGGAAATGAAATTTTGCCCACAGTGACCACAGTTGCCCACAGTTACCTGTGAAAGAAATTCCAGTCTTTCGGAGTGAATGCTTAGTTTGTGCTCTCATTAATCCTCAGAGGTTAACTGAAATGCCTCCTACTTGGTCATACTTTTCTGTCTTGTGTTCTTGGTTCTCCACTTTGGCTTCAGTGCTAGTTAATTCACCAATCCACATCAGCACTGTGTAATTTAAAACTTTCATGGTACGGAGACGATGATTTTATGGTTTAGTCAAGTATAGCCAGTGGGTTTGGATTTCAAGTTCCTCCAGGCTGTCCTTTGTACTTCTGTGTCATCAGAGCAACTAAGC